TTTTTCGCTTTCTTTTCATTTCTTCCTTTCTATTTCATAAAAGTTCTTAATAAACTTACTTATTTAAAATAATCCTACAATGACAGCCCGTAAAGCCATCCACCTAAAATTAAGTATTGCAAAGCGCATTGAGACGTATGTTTGATTTAAAAAACGCTACACCTTTGAATTTTAGACATCTTTCGACGGAAACAGACGTTTGTCTAATGCGCTATATAAGAACTTCTCATCATTACTTCAACGATGTTTTTAACTTCGAATTCAAGCCAATTCACAACCATTTTGCTTGAATAATGTTTTTAACTTCGAGTATCCTGCACAAAAGTCATGACGCAACTGTTCAAACAATTAAGAATTTCCCCCTTATTGTCTTGAACCATTTTTCCGGGAGAAAAATACAAAATAACACTGTCTCTTTACTCAAATACTTGACTTCAATAGCTCACCCCATCTTCGATGGATGTATAGCTCAAAGCATCCATTGCTTTGAAAAAAAATATGAAAAAATGTATTCTGGAGACAACTTTAAGATTTTATGTGCCTATGCATGATCTTGTGATTACAAAAGAACGCTAGAGAACGCTTTTCACCATTATTTGTACAATAATGAGTGCACCTGGCAGATATGATGATTAGGAATGGGATCGTTTTTATGAGCACGCTTCAATTTTTTAACAGTACAAGTGCAAAGTTCTTCCAAGCATGGAATCTCCGACTTTTTCTGCTCTCAATTCGCAAAACATTTCTCAAGGTTTTCGCTACAATTCAACGACTAACCAAGAAGGTTTCAACGAGTTAACGCTGATTCAAGCCTTAACTAGGAAACCAGTAAACTTGGCAAGCGCCGTGTTTCTGTTTTTACTAACTATCTTCAGTATCGTTGGAAATGCTCTGGTTTGTCGTACTATTTTCGTGACCAGAAGACTTCACAATCCTGGTTATTACTTCGTAGCGAATCTGGCAGTGGCAGATTTTCTCGTGGGTATTTTTCCTCTTCCTTTGACACTTCTTGTGTATATCACGTATCAAATGAAAGGTAAGATTACTGTGCGTCTGCTATCAACGCCGAAAAAATGCAAAGAAAAACAAGTGTTTTCCCCCCCTTTTAAATACTGAATTAAAATAATTAGTTTTTTAAAAAGTGTCTAGTAATTATTCTCATTAGAACTTATGGCATCTCAGCTACAAACAAAAATCATATTTGCTTTTATTTTTTTGTGGGCAATGGTTATTTATTTTATCAAGATATTTCCTCCAGATCATTATTAATAACTTTTCAAGAAATACAGGCGTGGAGATTTCTCGTATACGATACGATCGATACTGTACGGTGTCCCGTATAAAGGGAATGCAGCAAGTAAGACGGGCGGGTTGCTGCAAATCAAAGAAAAGAGTTGCTGTGCGTTAGACGAGTTGCTGCACTTTAGGTTGTACCACAATTGTGAATTTTCTCGATTTCTGATTGGTCTAGAGCCGGGGGGTAAATAAGGAGATCGTACCAATAAATTACATCCGCAAATCAAGAATCGCTCGAGCAATGAGCCAGCGCACGCGCTCGAAATCGTTTCTCTTTCAAACATCCACCTGGATTTTGGATACGCTTCGTGAGTCCAAAACATTTTGACGGCTAGATGACGAACAGAGGACATAGTACGGAAAGCCTTAGAAAAAAATGGTTGACGAATTGCTGCAAATAAGAAACGAGTTGCGGAATGTTAGACGGGCTGGTTCATGTCAAAGATTAGATTGGAATTGATTTCTAGAGAAGCTTGACGTGTTTGTCTTTCCTCGGCACAGAATTACAAAAATTGCTTCGAAAAATTACTCATGATTACAGACTGCAGGTCATTGATTCGATTCCCGGCAGTTTTAAATTTTGAGCGATTTCTCAGCTAAAACGGGTCGTAATCGATTTAGAGTTAGGGGGGGGGGGGGGGGG